TTTAATGGCTGAAATTAATTTACCAAAGACTCTTATGGCCATCGTTAGATGATTATTGAATGCCGACGATTTTAAAATCGCCAATAAAGTAATTAATTATTGACCTGTCAAGAAAATGTATGAAAGGTACAGAGTTTCATCAGCTCAATTTTATTGTGATATCATGCAAGTACTGCGCGTTCATTTTTTTTTAAATTCTATACAAAGAGTCAAAGATGTTTTTTTACTTTTTTTGCAAAAAATACAGCTTTAATCCTAAATAACAAGTTACTTTTAAAAAAAATTTAACATTTTAAAATATAAAATATTTTAAAAATATTATAATTTTATTAAATAATTTTATTTTAATATTACTCTTTTTTCTTTATTTAAAAATTAAATATAAATTTAAGATTGTTAGATAAAAATATTTTTAAAAGTTTATATTTTTATTTTAAAATATAAAGTTATTAAGTATATTTAATAAGATTTGTTGGTATATAAAATTTTATTTAAAAATATTTTATAATTTAAAAAAGAGAGAATAGATTAAAGTTATGGTTGGCATATAATATTTTAAATATTTTATAATATTTAAAAGCATTGCCCTTTCTTTCTCTAGAAAGGCAGAGTTGGTTGTAAACATTGAATAAATAAAAGGAGCATCGGTGAAGAGTGAATGAAAACGACAAAAGGCGAGAGCATAAGTCTACTATTTGTGAATATACTGTCGTGATAATGTAAGTAATAATTAATTAATTTATAATTTATAAATAATGTTAATTAAAATATTTAATTTTTTAAAATGTACACATCTTTTTATTTATACTGTCATTAAATACCTTATATAAAAATTTTGATGATAGTAATTAAAATTTTAATGCATGATTCATCAAAAAGAATAATAAATGAAGTAAGAATATAGTTAAAAAATATAAAAATTATCCAACGTCATATATTTTGGATCAGATAATATTTTTAAAATATGTCTTATATTATAATTTGGAGGAAGTGTGCTGTGTGAACTTTTACAATTTGTTTGTTTGATGCAAAACAAATTAAATATCATTCATATGTACCTACTTCCTTTGTTCTTATATATACAATGTTTTTAAAAATTTATTTTATTTCTAAATATAAGATGTGTCAATGATATTTTTAAGTAATTAAATAATTTTGTCAATCTTAAAAAATAGAGGAGATATTAATCATATATTTTACTCTCCACTACGATAAAATCAAAAGATCATTGTGATTTTTTATCTTATTTCAACTAAATAATAACTTTTATCAATACGTCAACACCTTGCTTAAATGTAGGAACGAAGGGAATACTTTTGTGCATTATCATTTCACAAAACCTCCAAGTACGTCTCCATATTTACAATTACCAAATTGATGCCCTCTCTATTTAATCTATCAATTAACACACTCATTTCAAAGGTTTTTTTTTTTTTCCTCACTCAATCTGCAGTGTGTCTTTATCTACTCATTTTAGTAAACTAAAATTTTAGTCAAGCTGGTTTTAAAATTCATCAGAACCAGGACAAGTCTATCGCTTGCATAATTTTCATGTCCTTTTGTGGTGAATTTAAATATTTACTCCCTTCGTTTTGTATTATTCAGTTTTTTTTTTGGAAGTATCATACGTATAAAAAATATAAAGTAAAGGTGCATTTTTGTTTTTTAAATATTCTCTAAAGGAACACCCAACACCCTAATTATTTGGTGTAGCATTTTAGCTAAAGTAATTAAAATATAGCATTCTCCACCATGACATTAGATAATCACAAATGATTTGTTAGATGGTCAAACTATATTCTCTCACGTGATGTTAACAGTGAGCGTCTATTATTTAATGTTGGGGTATAAAATGTTTAATTACTTTGAAGGTAAAGATATTACACCAACTAGTTTATAGTGATGGGTGCTTTTCAAAAAATATTTCAAAAATAAAAATACACCTTTGCCCAAAAATATTAAATATTTTTATCTTTTAACATGTAATTAATAAGGTTTATTCACAAATGCCCTTAGTTAGGGGTGTAATATAATTAATAAACTTATTTAATTGAGACATTTTATTAAATAAAGATAAATATAAAAAGATTATAATTTAAAAGCATCTTAGAATGGGCATCAAAACTGTCACTGCTTATGGACAACTCATATTACTAGTGAGACTCAAACCATTACCCATATATAGACAATGAGTTACTCTATCTAGTTCTATACTTCTTTCATTAAAAAATATAAGATAGTTTTAATCAAATTTTACCTTCAATGAAATAGTTACCTACTTTCAAACTAACCATATATTTTTATATTTTTTTTTATTAAATACCCTATACTAAATATAAAGTCATTTATCAATAGGGACACTTTAAAAAAAAGACAATAATTATACCTCAAAAGACTAAAAATACTTTACATTTTTAATATTAAACTCTTTAAAAATGCCTTATATTTTAAACAAAGAGAGTATATAAGTATAATAATTTAAACAGTTTTAAAAAATTAATTAAGTATAATAATCATATCTAGAATTAAAAAAATTGAATTAAATTATCCATAAAATCAATTGACAGCGCCCCCACTAGGATGGAGAAAATCTCATTCAAGTCTCCCAGTAAATCACTCTTTCCACCCCCTCTTCTCCAAAAAAAAAAAAAAAAAATCTTTTGCCACCCGTCTCATCGCAAAAATTTCATTTGTGTCCTCAATAAAATTTCATTTGTTCTATTTAACATTTTAAAATCTCGAACACATATATTTTGTTGGTTGACTCAACTGTATACTCCATCCGATCTTATTTATTATATGGCAAGGGCAATAATATTTTTGGTCCAAAATTATTAGGTATGACATCGACTATTTATTACTACAACGTTTTCCTTTTATTCCCGTTAAATGCTAGATAATACATTATAAGTTGTAAGGTTTTATTTGATTTCAATTAAATATATTAGAAGTGATTTATAAATAAGATTGAGAGGAGTACATTTAATCTATAATTTTTTAACTTTAATTTTGAAAATAAATTTTGTAAAACTTAAATGATAAAATAAAGTTCCACAACTAAAATTATGATCTCTAAGAAACAAAGTGACATGTTCTTAAATTTTTCAAACTCATAAATTATTTAATTTTAATTGTTTTTCCATATAATAAATATTTAATTTTTTAAAATAATATTAGTTATAATTTTCCCACGATTGACTTAATTTCACTGCAAGTAATTAGAAAATGCATCATTGTCCTTTCCTGCTTTGATCTAGTGACTAAAAGAGGACTATTGCTAGATTGAGACGATGAAACATGATTTGAATATGAAACAATATCATGGGATAAATCATTTGCTGTGGTCATCACCTTCCTTTTAAAATTCTAATCTAGAAGTTTATGTAGTGACTCTATTAAACTATTGTGTATCCTAATTTTATTTATAAGTCATTTCGAACATGTTTTATTAAAATTAAAAAAAATCTTAAAACTCACTAATTCTATCTAAAAATTTAATAACTTTTCAATTTTGCTCTCATTAAATATACATATTTTAATAATATAATTTTTTTTTTCAATATTCAATGGAAAGTAAAAGAAACAATTTGTTATGAAAATTTAGACATGACTTATAAGTAAGATAAAAAAAAATTTCTCTATGTTCTCTTTGAATAGGATTAGAGGGATCAGTATCTTTTAAATTGTACTTGAATTCTAACATTTTCACTGTAGCATTGCTTGGTTCACATGTTTGTATGTTGTGTCTTGGAAGTATATTTGTTTTTTCCCATGTTGATTGATTGTCGTCACTGTCTATTAATTTAAATCCAAAATGACATGCATAATTTTATCACATTTCAAACTAAAAGAATACACTCTGATGACTTGCAGTGGGCAACAATCATATATATTGAAGCAATTGGTTGAATTTGATACGCAAATGCTTTACAGGAAAGTGGAAAGAATATATGCTTTGGACAACGATTTTAGGCAAAGATATCAAAAAGGAGACCTATTGATTTTCGTATGGGACGGTAATTTCCTCAGAAAATTAAATTCCCTGTACATGCATGAGAAAATTTAAGAATAATATATAAATATAAGATTCCTTTTTTTTATTTCTTTGTTTTTTCCTTGCACTTTATTTTATGTCATTTCCCATTTATATTTCAATCATCTCTAGACTATGTTCCAATTCTATTCGTGACTTTATTCCAAGTCCTTATTCTCAGCTATTTCCTTTCCTCCGAAAGTGTAAATTAGCATGTGATTGTGTCTAGGATCGATCCATCACACCAATTTTCTTACATCATAGGATTGTACAGTGAAAGAAACCAATCCTTTATAACGTGACATATCAAGATTGTATCTCCATTGAGAAATATGTTAGATTTCTTATATTAAGCATACTTAAAGATAATATACTCTATTAAAATAGTTTAAGTCATTTAATTAAATACTTTTCAAGCTTATATATTTATGATTTATTTTTTAATATTTAAATGTAAAACTTTTTTTATATTCTAACAAAACATGCTTACATTTAACACTCTTTTCGTTAGAAAATATAAAACATTTTTAACCGAATCTCATCCCCAAAAAAGTGTTTACCTACTTTCAAACTAACCATATCTTTTTATATTTACCTTTATTAAATACCCTACAATAAATATAAAATCATTATCAATAGGGACACTTTTAGAAAACAAAACAATGATTACATCTTAAAAGACTAAAAATATTTTATATTTTTTGATATCCAACTTCTCAAAAAATACTTTACATTTTTTAACAGAGAAAGTATCATATTGCATTTGAAATAAGTCTGTCTTTAATAAGAAGACATCAGCAGACATTAAAAAATTTAATATATAATATGTATGTTCGGAGGGTTATAAACTCTTATTTGAGCGAAATGATAGATTCCATTGACACTTACTTCCGTTTATGTTACATTTTAAAAAAAAAAATTTATGAAGATATACAAGATTTCGACTCAAGATTAAATATAAAAACTATAAAAACAAACTCTCCTCTCAAATTTATAATATACGAAAAAAATTAAAATATTTCATGAATGCAAAGTGCTATTACAATTATCAAGGATATTGCTTCATACTTTGAGATGTATAGGTAAAGCTCCCTCTTTCTTTTGCTTCTGTCTCTTTCTCTCGCAGATTGCACAACAACATACAAATCCAATTAGATTTCATATATTTACCAATAAACATAAAATATATTTGTTGATTTGGATTCTCTTCTCTCATGCTCTCTTCTCCTTTTGTTGCTTTCTGTCTTTCTTGTCTCCTTGTCTTTCTTTAGCTCTCTTTTTGCTTTTCTTTTCTTTTCTTTTTCTTTTTCTTTCCTTTTCTATTTTTTCCTTCCCTTTCGTATTCTTTTAAGCTTCCTTTTTCTCTGGGTTTCTCAGCAGGTACCTGATTCTCATTCCAGCCCTATAGATATATAGCTTGCTAGATATCTCTTTTTTGAGAGAAAAATTTAATTATTCTTTCTTCGAAACGATTAATAATACTGATACTATCAGAATAACAAAGAAGGGAGAGATCTCATATTGGCTGTCCCAAGGTGAACTCCAAATCCAAATTAGGCTTCTTAGGGCTTGATCCTGAAATGTTTGACGATGAGCTTCCATCTGATGTTCTCTCCTTCTGTAAATTCAACAGAAAAGGTACAAAAATAAGAAATAATTTAAAAATAGTACTGGACATTATTAAAAAAAACAAAAAAATCCTCCTAAATTTCCAAGTTCAATATGTGCTCGCGCGCGCCCCACTACATCTCACTCATTACATATAGCTACTTGCAATTATTTTAGAGTAATGCTCAAAAAACTATGATTCGAGTGCATGCATGTTGTCTCAGTTGTCAGTTCCTTGTTTAATGAGCAGTTAAAATTCAACAAAATGAGGGTTTGAGATAAAAAATCTCACTGGTACACATAATTTATTTAGTTTCTGAAGTTTCGGTAAACACCTTAAGAATGTCTTCATGATCTACACCATCATTGAGTAACGAGGAGGTGGTAGCTAGGGTTTCTATGGGGTCAAGATTAATTAATGCGGTCAATGTTAATAGATTAAACTGGTTGATTTAAAGCACATAATTCTTCTTCTTGTTTTTTTTTTTTTCCTTTCAAGCCAAAACTGTGAAAAAGACATGTCTCCCCACAAATTTGAAAAATGGGAAGGACAAAGCAGCTTTTGAAAAGCCTTTTCCTTTTCCCATCTCTATAAAAAAAAATAAAATGTAGTGCATGGTTAGATGGAAAAAGATCAAACGTATTCCCTTTTTCGCTCACTTCCCTTTCATGTATGCTCTATTATTATATGATACTAATTCCAAACACAGATAAAGACGTCGCCTTAAAAGTAAATAAAACTCGCCCACAAACACTCCATCTTCGGAAATTAATAAAGGTGACCCATCAGTGAGAATAATTATATATACCTCAAGAGAACTAACATTGTTGTTTCCAACAGAATCAATCTCCTTTGGCTTCCCATGCAGCCAAGCTTCTCTGTTACAAAAAATGAGAGAATATCTCCCATTACTCAGAGGCCATGCAGAAGAAAAGGCAAACTGATAAAAGAAAGCCATCTTTTACTGTCCATTTATATAAATATATATATATATATATATATATGCATACACGGGCACATGCAGGGAAGCTTGAAACTTGAAAGGGCATAGAGCTTTGGGAACAAGAGTTTTCCAAGAATGGGTGAGAAGGGCTTAGCCTTGACGCTAAGCTTTCGGGGGTCCCATTTTAAATAAGGTTAAGTTTGAACCCCACAAAATCATAAGGAAAGAGATATCTCTATTTTTGAGGTGGATTTTGGCAAATGCCAAACTCCCGAGTCTTGTAAGATGATGATGAGGATCTATCTGTAGTGGGTTTCTTTCTCTTTTACTTCCTTTTCACCCCCACTACTAGCTACTTGCAGATTATTCATTATTACCCCATCATGGAGTTTTCAACACAGACAGCACAAAGCAAAACCTGATATCATCATTTCTTCTTTTTGTGATTTTTTGAGCCTAACTATGTTTCTATCTACTATCAAGCTATGTGTTTAGGGGGGGGGGGGAGGGGAGAGAGAGAATAAAGACATGCATGAATTCATAGTTCTGAACATGACTGACTGAACATAGTATGGAACATTATGAGAACTTTATATGCAACTTGATCACTAAATGCATCTCACCGTTGGCTGGAATTGAATGTTTAATTTCCTTCTTCATACTGTCAATTGAAGCTAATGATGAGAAGTAATTATGTATTAATTATAGCTTTTAATAACATTAATACCTGGAAGAGTTGCTCCAGAGGCCGTGATATTCCTTTTCTTGATGAACACATTGTCTTCCCTGCATGGTAGATAGATCGGATCTTCCCAAATTGTTCATGTCGAACATTAATTCTTCAGAAGTATCCCCAGATGATCCATTATCATATCCGTCTGATTGACCTTCATGGTCAAACAACAAAATGAAGTCAGAAATCAACAAGAAAAGAGTATTGTTGGGCAGCATTAATTTGAATGACAAATTGATGAGAACATATATAAGATCTAATTAACCTGTGGAAGAAGCTGCTGCTCTATCTGTGGTTTTCACCGTCCGATACATCTGGAAAATGTTGAAATTTATTGATCATCAATGTCAGCATGTGAGACATAAAATCTGCTATCAAATTGTACGACGTAACAACTCGAGGATGATTAGCAGAGACCGAAGTTCACAGAAAAGTGGCAACACCATTAGGGGGAAAAAAACACAAGAAAAAGGAGTCTGTGACTGTAAGGTTTAAATTGATAGACAGTGCATCAGTACCAGGTGTAAAGCAGAAGCATTTATGGTTTTGCTCACTGGTAATGTATTGGTGTATGAATATACGTATATACATGCATGAAACCTTGTGACTAACCATGGTTAAGAAGGTATGGTTAGGGGAACCCATCTGAGGAGGAGATCATTGAGATATGATGGTGTTCTGTCCTTTCTCATCATTTTTTTTTTCTTTTCCATAAATCTGGTTTATGTATAATTTTATACTCTAAAGAAGTGGACGAAAATATGAATTAATTGACTTCTCTTGGCTTGGCTGCGGCTCATTTTGAAATTTCTGGGGGCTTTGTCTTGCTCGTTTTCAGAAATCGATAAGTACCTCTCTCTCTCTCTCCCTCTCTTCAGTGTGCAGAGAGAGAGAGTATTGATTTTTTTCTTGAACATGGGGGGTTCAATCTTCCAGGCAAAAAGCTGTTTATGAGCTTGCAGATACAGATACAGAGCTCACAGATATAATAAAAAAAGAAGAGCTGAGATAAGATACAATACGAGACACTCTCTGTAAGTATGAAGAAGGCAATTAAGGAAAAATTGAGATTATTAACACAGATCGATGGGAAAAGAGTTGAATTAGCTACCTGTAAATGAGATTTAACGTGGGCTAAAGTAAGATCCTTGACATCCATTAGCTCGAGAACGGATTTGGGTGTAGCCCCTAAAAGCCCAAGGGGAATTATAAGATTAATTAGCTATAATAAATATATGTAGAAGAAGAAGAAGAAGATAAAGAAAGAGATATTAATCACGGGTGTAAGAAGGAGAAGGAAAAGAAGGATACTTTCGTGGCCACCCAAAAGCTCAACGGCATGAACAAAGCGAGCATGAAGGGTGGTAGTCCAACGCATCCTAGGAGCTCTCATGCTGCGCTTGGTCGGGAAGCGATGAGACAAAAACCTCGACCTCATCAAACCTTGACTATGATGATGATGAAAAGGAAAAGGGGCGGAGCTTGTGCAGGCGGTGGAGTTTTTCACTGCTGCTGAAATAGAAACATCCGGATTCTGATGAACTTGAGAGAAAGGAAGAGCAGGAGGATGAGGATGAGGATGATGAGGGTTCTGGTACACAGGGATTCCTCTGATGGGTCTGAGAAATCCCAGTTCCTGCGTCAAGTACTGAGGGTGGTGGTGGTGCTGATGAAACGGATCGTTTTGGAAGCGGTGGTTGTGAGTGACATCTGAGGAAGAAACTGAAGGCGTGAATGTAGCGGCCGGGTTGGAATTATTGGAAAGTGAAAGGTCAAAAAGGTCAGCAGCAGTGGCAGTTTTAGGCATTGAGGAAAGCAATGAGCTTCTGGTCTCCAGAGCTCTCTTCCAGAACCCCAAATCAACTTGATCTTGCGTCCCACTATTTCTCCATCCTGATGTGGATTTGGTGTTGGGAGGACTAATCTGCAAAGACAAATCAGGCTGTGCTGGAAACAACTCCATCTATTTGCCTCCCCGTGATTTCCCACCTACCTAGCTTAGCTTGCTTTATCTTCTCCAAGAACAAGCAATCTTTTCTGCAATTCTCTGTGATATATATAGATAGCACAGTGTGTGTGAGAGAGTTAAGCAGAGAGGGTTTAGATTTTCTGGGCGTGAGATGAATGGATTGGGAAGAGAGGGGCCGGGTGTGTTTGAGATAATTGAGAGGAGAAGGGGAAGGACGCAGAGGGAAAGAAGAAATGACAAGGGGATGAAGTGAATGGTTGTTTCTTTTGTGTGAAGTATATGTGAGACAATGACACTTGAGGGGCTATGGGGGGGGGGAGAGAGAGAGGGGTGCTTGTTTTGTGGACGTCGGAGAGTAGGGTAATAAAGGATGTGGAAAGGAAATGGCAAAGAGACGATAGGGAAAAGGAAAAGGTAAAATTATATTATATAAGTATTCATGAAACTTTTGTTATTCCCCCCCTTTTCTCTCTCTCTCTCTCTCTCTCACTCACTCACAAATATACTCTCTTTTTAGCTGTGTTTTTCTTTATGTTATTAAGAAAACAAAAGGAAAAAAAGAAGAAGAAAACTTGCCATATAACCTTTAACGTGTGCATTTGTCCTTCTGAAACTCATAACTTTCTAACACACACACGTACAGAGTTTCTCTCTCTCTCTCTCTTTAACTGAAACCTAGGGCGCTCTCTCCCCCACACCCCCCCCCCCTCTCTCCTTCCTTTTCCACAGAACAATACAAATACAACAGGTATATATATCAATTATTATTTGTGGGATTTTTATTTACTATCGCATGATTGGTCACATTTTTCCAAACCTTGTTTTTGGGCAATTATGGACCTAATTATTAGAAACCACTCATTGAGGTCATCATGAAATTAAAACCCTAAATCTCTCCGCAAATCACATCATATCATCCTCATTCCCTCCCCTATCTTAATTCTTTGAATAATTTTAGACTTTGATATTTGGACCCATCGGCATCACTTCTTGTTCTCATTGTCATTTCCCCTCTTTGCTAATCACCTTCGTCACTCGAGATAACTTCAAAGGTATATTTGTGGGTGCCTATACACTCCCACTGAAATGTCACATTTGCCCCTCCGTTCTTTATATACTTGTAATTGTAAAAGGGCAAGAAGTTCAACTAAATTTAAAGGAAGTTATAATTTAATTTTTGTTTTATGAGAGATAGATCTATAAATGTTCTAAAAATATAGAAGAAACTTGTGTTTCGCAGACAAAATTCATGAAGATGAAAATGATTTTGAAGGTTAAAAATGACTCATATGTATCCATGCTTTAAAAATGTAATGAAAATAGATTAAAAAAAATATTGATATGGAAACACCAATATTGGTGGGTCGAGGAACTCTATCAAAAATTAATTATATGGTTACGTACGAATGTTAGGGTTCAAATATTGGATGGTCCTGATGCAATCAATGTGACTTCCAAGTTTTGTCAGATGCATGGATGTATTCACATATTCATAAGACTATGATGAATGAAAATGTGTGTTCCAATGGTGGCAATTACTCATAGCGGGTAATATGTCTTAGTTGCAATTAATTATACCACATTGATTATTTTATTATTATTGCCTCACCTATTAAAGTTGAGTGAATCTTACATACTCCTTCCATGTCTATTTGTAAGATAAAAATACTATATCACACAATTTAAGAAAATCAGTTGACTATATTAATTATATTTTAAAATAAAAGACTTAGACTACAACACTCTTTATTAATTGTATTAATCAAGCCTTCATTAATTATTTCTTATAATTATACATGATAAAATTATAAGAGATAATTTAAGAAGTTTACAATAAATGCCTATTGAAAAATGTGATTTTTTATATAAAAAAACAAAATAAAAGTGATAGTTTTTGTTATAAATGAAAATGGAGGGAGTAGCTTTTAATACTAATTCAATTTTATATTCCTTAATTTGAATGTATTATTTTTGTAAAGTAGCTAGATAATAATTAATAATATTTCAAGAATATTTTTCTTCAATCTTCTTAGATTAAAGCACTTCATGAGCTAGTCAGCTTGGTGAGACAACGTCCAAAAGGCACATTTTACTTTCATGATGTGTTTTCGATTCTCCTGATGAGATCAAGGAATGTTTTTAAAAATCTGTCTTAACATGGTAAGTAATTAAAGTCCGTTGATGATGCTTAAAAATACCTAGGAAAATTCCTTGGGAGTTTGATCCATATTTAAAGAGGATAAATTTATAAAAATTTCACAAAATTTACGTGAAAAGAAACATATTCTACTATGAATTTTTCTTCATTCTAGTGTTTTTCTAATAATTTACCAATGATATATATATATATATATATACACTCAGGTAATTCATATATATGCTTAATTAATTTAGCACAGCTACAGAAATTCACAAACACAATAGGGGAAATTAAAGATATTTAATTATGAGCAAAATTAATAAGACCCCATGCATAATCTTTTTCCCCCCTTTTCACACCTCTGGATTATTTATTTTTTTAATTTTTTCACTCATAATGTGTATAACGTATAAAATATAGATTAAAACCCCATAAAATAAACAATTGTACCACCTTTAATCCAATTTAAATTTTTAACGAAAACATCTTTTAACAAGACACACACTGGTTAAATTTAATGATTTTTTTAATTTTCATTGTTATATTTTTTAATATAAGATGTATGCTTATTTTTATGTTTATTTGTACATATTTAGATCATATGTACACATACATATGTCTATTTAATTTATAGAACGTCTTTAGTCAAAAACTTAACATTGAACTAATTCAAGCTGAATGATAGATATCATTTACATTTATTGATCTATTACAGTTTTCTTTTTCTTTTTTTTTTTTTGACGAAGTGCCCTTGTATTCCATTTATAAAATTGAAGATGTAGCTTTTCCATTTAAGAAGATTAATAAGTATAGAGTAATATAGTGTTAAAATTTATTTATTATCTTAGATCGTCAAATAATTAATATTAATTTAATTTTGTGTATCTGAGTAAAATAATTAAAAAATTGGTTTATATGTGATAATTATCATTTTGTAATTTAAAAATACGATATTTCTAAAAATATCATATCATTTTTTTTCAAGGTTAGGAAAGCTTTGTACTTTATGAGCAAGGAAACATTCGTTGTTCTTTAATTTATGGTGAGCTTCATTCGGACATCTGATAATTTGGTGAATAGTGAAAGGAAAATGGTAATAAATAATTAACATAATTAACAGTGACTCGTGGTTGTTGATTTGATTTTGATCATTAAAGCCTAGCCTATTGAATGCCCTAACTAGAGCTTGACATAATGTTCTTTCTTGATATGCTCCTATATATTGTCACTATTATTCTAATTGCGTCAGTCACACCAACGTGATTCCCAAAGCAAGTGAAAGTTATTTACACTTTTTGACCTTAAACTTGGGTTAATTGGCACACAGTTAAAAGATTTCATTCAATTCATGATTTAGATCTGATCTGTCTTTTTTGTGTTCTATTGCAATTACACTTTCTTTTTGATTAATGACGCGTGAGACTCCAAAATTTGGTCACAGAACAAAGAAAGTAAGACTCAATTGTTCAGTATTTGGTCATGGTTACGAAAGCATTACATGTAAAGTTTCTGTCATGTTTTGAGATTTGAAAACAAAGAAATTAAAGAAAATACAACGTAGAGGGTGATTGGTAAAATCAACACTAATCACCAGCTCATTGTCTTGTCTACTACAAGAAAAAAGATTTTTTTTAATTTTTTTAATTTTTCTAATTAAAGAGGGCTCTTGAAAACGTTTTACTCAATTCAGCTCTATTTATAGGATAGAAAAAAAATATTTTTTTATTTATAATTTATTTTATTAAATTTTTATCATAAATTTTTTATTTATTACTTAGTAAATGTTAGAGAGAAAAAATATATTATTAAAGTGTATGTGTATGTATATATTTAATAAGAATAAAGTTAAAAAATTATTAAATTTTTTAGACAAAACTAATAAATTTTAACATTTTTCTTGATTTTAATAAAATATATTAAAAATAAATTATAAATATAAATCATAAGAGCATGTAAGAATGTTTAGGCACAATACCTAATTTTTTATATTCCCACGACTTATATTCTTCAATAAAACACACTAGACATTTTGGTTAAAAAAAAAGATAAAAGATAAAAAGAAAACGCACAAAACCAGCTAATGTGCATTTTTACCATAAAATTTAATTACTTCATTTCTATCAAAAAATAAATAATTTTTTTGATCCATTTCACTACAAAAAAATAACTAATTAGCGACATAATTTTTTATCATTAATCAGTGAAAAATTCATCATTAAATGAATTAGCAACACAATTAATAATGAAATATTTTTGTTGATAAAAACATCATCATTAATTCGTTAATGATAAAATTTGTGATGGAATTGCATTCTATCACTAATTAGTAATAGAATAGTGATGGACATTTTTTATCACTAAATAACGATAATTTATTTTAACTTTGCGACGAAATGTATTCTGTTGTAAATTTTTCAACAAGCTTATTCTATTGCTAATTCAATCCCTAATTATTAGGTAGACCAAAATATCATAGTTCATTTTTCATTGCTTTGACTATAAGAATTAATTATATATGGTAATGAAATTTTAAAAACTTAATTAATAAATATTAAATTTTAGAGACCAAATCACTAATTAAGATAAAGTTAAAGAATCAAAAGTTTCATGGAGAGTCAAATTAACATAAAAGACCTTTGGATTTTATACATCTCATTTTTTATGTTTCTATATTTAATCTTTTTATAATTTCATCTAAAATATTGTGTTTATTATGTATATCACCTCTTTTAGGTCAATGTTTAAAAGTTTTAAAAATTTTCTTATATCAAAGTTAATTAAACTTTAGGAATTAGACGAAAGTTCGGGTCTTTTGCTTAAATAGCTATGAATGAACAGTGAACAGCTTTTGGGGTAACAAATTTAGAGAATCGAAGCTGGGCAGAAAGAGGTACATATGCCCAAGAATTTATCCTAAGAGCCAAAAAAGCAACGATGACAGAAAAGTGAAGAAAGGGTGAAACCAAAGATTTTAGTTGACAGCAACAAATGTTTGATATATTTTTTTCCTTTTTTTTATATATTCCTTTACATGGAAAAAAAAAAGTAGAATCACTTATTGGGCATTTAGAAAGAAAGAAATTAAAGATTATTGATATTGCGATGAAAGGGTTTAAATATAAATGCCTTTTCCGCAACTCTATATATAGATACGAGACAGCATCGATTTGCATTATCCTTTGC